ACTTTTAGTGTTTTGGGATTTTTCAAAACGCATATAATGTTTTAAAGTGTATACTCAAATAAAATAATATACTGTCTTATTAGTAAAATGTGGTTAATGATATGATTTCAAATTGCATGTTTAAGATTAATTTATTATTAAAATATTCTCTGATTGCTGAAATGTTGCTCTACGCAATAATAATTATAATTATAATTAAATATAATATATTATTATATAATAAAGACCCTGGATTTCTATAGAGAACTATAAAGGCCTACCTAGTAGCATTAACTACATAATATATTCTCTTTTTAACAGTTTTATAGTAACACTTTTAGTTAGTTGATTTTTCAAAAACCTGTTATAATTTTTGTATAAGCGAGAGTATCACAGAATTAATTTTGGACGACAAAGTACATACCTACCTATCTACTATTTCTATTAGATATCGAGGGAAAAAAAGTTAGACGTAGAAAAATATTATTCTGTACATCTCTACATGAAGTAATACGTTTTCAATAATATATGCAGTAGATTCAAAGGGTGTTTTTTCCGTTGTTGGAAATCGAAAGTGTGTATTATATTATAAAACCAAACGTTCGCATTATAGTATAATAGTATACCTACCGTAGTACCGTCAAATATAATAATATCTAAAACAAACGCGATTTTGTTGTTTAGCCATTACATAGATGTTTTGCTTTCGGTTGTTTATTTTATAGACATGTGACGTGGTCTATGATAGTATGATGGGTGCCCGTTATAATCGATTATTATTTATTGATTATCAATTTGAATAACATATTATTAAAATAATATTCTAAATATTGTACATCAGGCCCGTGGACGAACTTCATCCACCCCGCAGCCAAGAAAAGGTTTTTTTTAATAATACCATTTTCGACAGGAAATTAATATTGAATAGGGTTTATATTTTATTTTTCGATTTCGCCTTTACTTTCTTCGGACAAACGTTTACGTAACGTTTTGATGGCCAACGAAAACTTCCGGAATTCTTAAACTGGTCCTCCAGAAATATTAATTAGTGGTCCCCGATGTAAATATGCGTTTCAATTGAGTAGTATTGATAGTTATGTATCACTATGACAGTCTATATAATGCGTGCGTGCGCGTAGATCATTATTGTAACATAATACATCATTGATTATTTTGTCCGTACCCTTGAAATCTAGTCTCATTATTTTATAATAATCTTTATTGATTGGCCGTTTCACTTTTCGCCATGCGACCGACCCAGAAGTGCCGCCCGCTGCAGTTGATCCTATATAAAGATATATGGTATAATGATGTAATTGTCAATTACTAATTATTATCGAATAACAAAAAGCTTTGTCGCGACAATTATATTATATTGTACACGAATTTGACAGCAACAAAAAAAAATTTCTCAAACGATATGGTACTTACTATTTATAATAATATAATAATTATAATCGTAATTGTATTTTACACGCGCGCGTGTCGGACTTACACTTATAATAATATACTCGTATGACGTATAGGTATATTCGTGTTATAATCCACAAGCCGCCGAATTAAACTGTCACATGTCTAATCTACACATGAAATGTTGTTGGCATATTATAATACAACGATTAGGTAGTAAGTTATATCGATCAGAAGAATATTATTATGTCGCCTATGGGAATAGGGTGTAAGAAAACTTGCGAGTACCTTTACCTCCCGTAAAGTATAATAGGGTGAAAAATATATAAATCGGTAAAAGACGTTCGGTACGAGTTGTTAAGAGTAATTTTGACCCAATTATTCAGTGCACAATAATAACCCGAAGTACCTAAGTATATGGTTAACAATAACTATTATTAATACACCATGGAGTCTATATTATATTGTAACGCCACGTCGCTTTTTTTTATTACTATTGTGGTTGATTTAATAATTATTGTTTTAAAAATACACCGTTTGTCTTTGATAATATAATTGAGACTATTACACTGTTATAACTATTATGATTTTGTATTGTGATGTGCATGCGTGTGTTGGGCAATTACCGTTTTATACATAATACACAAACAAATAAACAGTAAATTAGGTAGGTATTATGTGTTCGGTGATTTGTATACATTTCATTATTCTCTACAACCGTATCGCGTATTCGCGTCTCCGGCAGAGCACGAGTGCACGAAAACATGACATAATATCATATAATATTATTTTGTTTATGAGAATTAACGTCATTTGGATTTTTGATAACAAAATATTTACAATAAAAATTGATGTAATGGATATTATTTATAAAGGAAAGATTGTCGTTGGCCTATATGGGTACGAAAATCATACGATTTGTTATTGGCTATGTCCTTATTAAAGGAGAATTTTTTTTAAAAAAAAAAGTCTGACTTACTGGCAGGTAAAATGAATCCTGAAGCCTAGCGTTGCCTAGAACACGAATTCTGAGTCGTTCTAAAAAAAGAAGTACGTCAATTATGGTTCTCAATCAGTATGGGGCATGTACCAAGTGCTCACTTTCCCACAATTTATATATATATTATATTATATTATATTTATATATTATATTATTATAATATACACGATTATAATACCACGCTTTGCGTAAATCAGAGGAGATAAATATGTAAATAAATGAAAATGGAAAAAATGCATTTAATAAAAGAATAATAATACAATATTTATAATAATAAACAATAAGGTGCATGCAATGTAATTTTTTAAAAAGAAAAAAATAGATAATGTTACAATGTTTAATTTATTAATTATGTTTGTTGTAACTTGTAATAATTATCATCATATTATCATAATTAATATTATACTTATTCGGTAATCGGTATTGTAATAGTGTATATTATAATATGTTGAAGGCAATGTATACATTCGATTTAGGGTAACTGGTAAATTTTTTAAATATCTGGAACAATCTCTGAAGTCAACTGGTCAACACCCGATCAATGTCCACAAATACAACAACAACTGGAGATCTTACAGCGTTCGGATAAAGAGTTTATTATTGTAATACTATGAAAGTATCGCAACACAATAGACTTGATTTAATTGTTCATCTAATTACTAATAATTTGTAGTTGTCTAAAGTTTCAAATTTCATTTATATTTCCGATTTCGTTATACTTCACAAATAAGAATAAAAATATTCTAATATTTTAATGTTATCAAATGTTAATCAAGACCATTTCACACGTTTGGTGTACAATTTGTATTATATATTATAATATTTGAAGCGATCCGTTTAAATGGCTTCACTAGTTATCCAAATCAATTTTCATGTTTTAAAAAAAATAAAATGTTTTAAAGTAGGTAGGTATTTATAAAGTATAACACCATATTTTTCCAAAAATTTAATTCTTTATCATAAAGTTTTTTTTTACATTTTTTCATCTCAACCTAGCTTATATTTTGTCTGAAATAGAAATGCAGAATATACATTTCTAAAAATGTTGATATTCATTAAATATGTATTGAATAAAAAGTTTTTTTTTAAATTAATAAGTTCATTTAAAGTTTAGATAAGTAAAGTGTAGACAGCGATTTACTCAACTTTAGCGGCATAATGTGAAGACTCTAGTTGACTTTTACTAATCGGTGCTGTATATAGGCATTTCAATTTTCACCCGGTATATATGATATTAGATAGTTTCCCTTCACTTCGACAATGCACGTATACAATCTGCAGGGAATTTTTCAGACATACGTCGGCGAATTTTGAATAGCAATATTATTGTTGTGCTCTATCTATATCGCTTTCGTTCTGAAGCAGTAAAACGGTCGTAATCGTTGTGTAAAACTGGCAAAACCGACCACACATCATATTAGGTATATTCGTGTTTAGAAATTATTAACGACTTATATTATCTACTTATTGGTGTACAGTATACAATATAGGTTTTATCGTGTAATAACAATAATATAATCATAACTACATTTTACCCTGTAATTATGTGGAGCTGAAAATTTTATATCCAATGAAATTGAGCAATCATTTAACTGCGTCGCAGAAAACTTCCGCTCTGCATATTGACCATAATATTATACTAATATACTAATATAGATATAGGTACCTACTCCAGAAATATTTTGACTTCCGTCAACAATATATATAAATCTGTTATTAAAATGTCATACAATCTTTGTGCAAGTGCCATAATACTTACACAAGTAAATTAACGACAAACAAATATGGTTCACTTCACACATCATCGTCGTTTTAAAACCACCATAAATCCACCACGAAGGTATATAAAATTGAGTCAATTTAATGACGAGTGTGTAATAAATCACTTCAGAATGAACCCAGGTATTATGTATATTGAGAGTTTGAATTTTATGGTTTATATAGGTACAGGTTTTTATAATATTGTAAATAAATAACTGTTATAATGTAGTACTTATTTATTTAAGTAGTTATGTGGTTGTTACGAAAAACAAACATTATATAATATATAGGTAGAAGGTACCTATATTTAAATATTTATTGCCTCTGAATAATTTAAACATGTATAAAAATTGATTGAATGCCGCATAATATTAATATTAATCATAATAATTATTTATAATAATATTAATCTGTTAACGCGCATACTATTATAAACGTTATTCACCCAACATAAAAACATAATACTTATTATTATTACCTATATTTTGTTACACTGTATCGTGTTTGTGTCTCTAAAAACATTTGATATAAAATCTCAAGATCCGCACGATGTTGGGGACACACACGACATTTTGTCTGAATTTCGCTATAATAATTATTTTGTCAGAAATTATTAGTTTTTCTATTGATATATGTTTTTAAGAAAAGTATTCTATTCGTCTATAAAAAAAAAACGATATAGATAATTCCTGCGTGTAAAGCAGGTTAGGGTACCGATTTATTTTAAGTGGTTTTTGTTCGTTAAATACAAATTATTTTCATAGGCTATACCTATACAATATTGAGATGAACACAAAATTGGTATGCGTTAACGTCTCGTTATTAATATTATTATATTATGTATTTTCAGATGAAAAAAGGAGCCGGAGGATCGTTGGCGATCGTAGTCGCTCCCGATGGCGGCTGGGGATGGGTAGTAGTTTTCGCTGCGTTTTACTGCAATGTGGTTGTAGACGGAATAATTTATTCCTTTGGCATGCTAATGAATGACATGGTCAACACATTTCACGAGCCGGAGTCTAAGATCACAGTAGTCGGATCACTATTAAACGGATTTTATTTAATTGCGGGTAAAATTATATTTATTTTGATTTTACCGCTCGAATACAGCACGGTGGCCGGCGACTATAATATTCAAATTTTATTATTGCCGGGTTGCATGGACAATCGCTAAACATTTAACGAATGAACAGTGAGCTAATGGTCCTTTAAACATAACTTAGTGGCCCATGGTTGGTTTATTAAATTGTATATTGAACCATGAAATTAATATATTTTTCATGCAACCCGACATATTATATATGTACGGAATAATATATTATTATAACACTGTCTTTACATTGTAATATAGATAACAATTTTTTTTTTAAATTCCCATTAAAGGTCCGTTTGTAAGTGCGCTTCTGAACAGTGTGGATTTCCGATCAATCACAATAATTGGAAGTGTAATCTCCTGCATTGCATTCGTTTCCGCCGCTTATGTAGAATCATTGTACCAACTGATGTTCTGCTATGGTTTCATTGGTGGTAAGTCATAATTATTTGCTTTTATTCAATACTATGTAGTTATGGAATTAATAAAATAGGTAATAACATCTAAAAAAATGTACTACTTAATAATATAATAATTCATTTCACAAAGTGAATGACAACATTGTTAAAAAAGTTACACGACACAAACTAAAGTGTCCATTTCACTAGAAGTGACAGTTTCGTGAAATATTTTAATGTTAAAAAGCTGTTTCCACTTCATGAAATGGACAATTTTTCCAAAAGATAAATTTCACGAAGTGGCTATGACATAATATATAGATTCATCAATATTTAATTATTTATAATTGCACGCTATTTATTACATCTTTTATGTCTCGTCCAGGTATCGTGTATGTGACGGATTGTGTTTGTGTAACAACAACTTCAGATCTGCAATTATTAAGTATCTTAAAAATTACATTGTCAGTAGGTAGGTCCCTACATTCAAATGGTTTACACAATTTATAAGGGTCGATTATGCATAATATTATTTCAATAATATAATAATGCATATATTTTACTGTCAAACAACCCAAGGCATTCGAAAATAAAACTCATTGACATTTAGACGACGTATTCAAACTATTGAAAACATGCCAATACATTTTACTTATTAGTTATTTGTTCTAGATTATAATCACGTTGTTTGATTAATAATTTATTAGACGTGATACGATTATGTTATTATTATAGCTTGAGGTTCCAATGTTCATTAGGTCAAGTACAAAATAAAACTTTCAACGACTGTAGATTGTATACATATTTTATGGTTTCAAATTAATACTAATTGTTGCTTACATATTCATTGTTATATCAATAATAAAAATATGGTTCCAGATTATTAATATATATTATTCCATTATTTTTTTATTGATCATCTTTATTTGAAAATACACACCACAGGTACAAAATTAAATGTATAATCTTCTATCATTATTACAGGTATCGGATTCAGTATGGTATATGTATCTGCGGTATTAATACCTGGATTTTATTTCGACAAGTGGAGAGCACTAGCAACGGGTATAGCTGTATGCGGATCCGGGATAGGAACGTTTGTACTTGCACCATTAAATGCACTTTTGGTAGAAAACTATGGTTGGCGAGTTACCATTATGGTCCAAGCAGGTACATAGTTATTTAAAAAGAAAATATTTTTATGCTTTTAAGTACTATGTTTATAGTGCTATATAAGTTATATCTGTTTATCAGTAATGTAATAAACTTGTTTTCTAAATTGTATGTGTTATCTTAAATATGTCATGTTCAAAACCCTTTAAATAAAAATCCAATCCTATAACCTAAAATCAAAAACAAACATAATCGTTCTTTTTTAAGTTATTAATATAAAGTTTTTAAGTAATATAGGAGATGAACAAAATATGCCTATCGAAAATCATACGGGTGAGCTCGAGGATAAAAATAATAAAAAAAATATGATTTTGTTTCTTAGGTCTCGCATTGAGTTGCGCTGGCGCTGGGATACTTTTCCGTCCATTGAAGCCAACCATTGTCGAAGTGCCGACTATCAATCCGGTCGTGATGGAACCAAAGTTACCGGAAGACGAGCCGCTGTTGACGAAAAGCATCACTGCCGAGAGAAAGATGTCGCTAGACAGCAAACACAACGCCGTCAAAATCGGAGCTCCGACGGCCGAAGAAATTTACAACCACCTGTCGGGTCGCCTGACACCCGAAACTCGGCCCACAAGCATATCGTGCCATTCTCTCAACACCCACAATCAGTACCTGAAGGATAGATTGTCACCCGATTTACCGGAAAAGAAATTATCCGCCGTCAGTCTGAGGAGGCCGTCTGTATCTGCGCATTTGATGGACAGGGACGACCGATTTTTCGGAGGGAGTCTGTCCAGACTGCCGCAGTATTCGTCGCAGGTATGTTTTTTATACAGAGGTCCCGACCAATTTTCTCCATCGGTTTTTCAATCTCGTCCCTTACAGCTGGATATGATACAAATATGAATAATGAATATACGCGTATTACTATTATATAGGTACCCCGCAACGTGCGTCAATCGAAAACTTTATTATATTATCTATTGCGGTAAACTATAATAATACCTTTATAGGTAGCTGTCGTAAAAAAAATTACACAATTCCACGCTACGCCCGCGCCTTAGGGTAGACTTATTTATTTCTTGCAGGCATTATTTTAGGTGAGCTCGTTGAACTACGCAATGTCGGTGACGAGAATACCAGCCTGGAACGACGCCGAGGAGGGGGATGACGAAGAGCCTTGTTCGAAGAATAATTCGTTCCGGAAAAACATGAAGAAGTATTACAAATCGGCTATGCACACACTCATGACAATGTTGGACTTTTCGATTCTAGCCTCTCCGTCCTTTTTCGTGTTGACGTGCAGCGGTTTTTTGACGATGTTGGGATTCTTTGTTCCATTTATGTACATTAGCGGTAACTATGAGTCTTGTTTTATCATATTTTTACCGCATATACCAACCTATACTTATAATACTTGACTCTTGTAGGGTGGCCGAAAAAAATTAATCCATGAGATGTACCGTAAATTATCAAAAAAAAATATATATATATATACATATATGTTCCCTGAATAGATGATAATTTAGGAACTGTAGTGATTTCCTACCCATTATTCACAATGACTGGAAAGGATAGGCAATGTTGGATATTTCGTAGTCTTATCATAATTTCTGAAAATTATATTATAGGCAAATTTTAATAGAAGATTCCCAACAACTTTTTCTACCTCAATAAAAAAAACATGTTTATTTAAAGATTTAGAATTTATTATCATTTACTATTTCAACGGCAACAATAAATATTAATATAAAAACCCTTATTGATACAGAACAGTAAAATACACTTTTACAATTAATTAAAAATTGTATTTTTATAGTTTCAGCCAATAAAACCTATAAGTTTTAGCTGATATAGTGATATGATCACTATATAAATGTCCATCATCAATATTATAATATGAATAAACATTGATGCCTACACGTTGTATCTAGTGACTATTACCTATCTAGATGGTTTCACTTTTCTACTATATCATGATTTACGTCAAACTCATATTAAATTATATTAATTTGTATTTCTGTAAGACTTCAAAAATGTCATAATTATTGTAATTATTGTTATAATTTGTTAACGCTCCCATAGCATGTATAGCAGGATATTCCACATAACCTGTTGAAGGCCAATCTCAAATATTTTTTTTACGTATCTACTCGTTATTAAAATATGGATTAATTGATTTCGACTATTGACAATTTTTCCGCAGAAAAAGCCGTCAGTATGGGCATGGACAAAAACGTAGCCGTGTGGCTGGTATCCGCGACAGGTCTGACGAACACGTTTGGGAGAGTGATATGTGGTTGGATATCCAGTTACGAATCCATCGATCCAATTCTGGTGAACAACTTGTCCCTCACGTTTGGAGGCCTCTACACCGTCTTGTTACCGTTTCTCCCGTATTCGGTGTTCTCATATTACTTATACGCTTCGCTGTTCGGATTTTCCATGGGTAAGCACATTTTTTTACGCACATCGATTACGATCACTTTTATGCCCTTTTATCGCATGTTTATCCTCAGGACACCGGTTCAACCTTTAAGATACTTACACACCCCTCTATTTTTTAATTAAGGCGTCCCTACGTTTTCCAATATCAATCTTGATTCGACTCAGAATTAATAGTTTCGTATTAAAATCATGAACATAAATTGGAGGAATATATAAAACCATTTTTTTGAAACTGAAAACATTATAGCATCCTGTATTAACGTCCTTAATATTAGGCCGTGGGCTATATAGGTTATGGGTAATAGGTATACACCACGCATAATTCATTAGTTTTTGAAATTTATTAAATATTGCACTTGAACAATATTATTGTTTAGCTCATGAATGATATTAATAGAGATCTGTATTTCATTTGCGTTTTAGAATGTGTTTAAAATTCTTTACGTGAATAACTTCGAAAGTAAATTCTACCAAGCCACTGCAACTAAAAGAATTTGTTTTGGATTTGTATTGGCGCGTGTGTACCCATATTATTGTATAATATGTACTATTAAAACAAAATTTACGAAATTGATAATTTGAACTATAAAATATTTTCATATGCATATTTAACTCTATATCTCTATATTATAATATATTGGCTGTCTTTGATTGTTAAGTAACACAAATGCAAACATTTTAAAAATATTTATTTTTTATTAGCTTGTTTCGCGTCTTTGAGATCGACCATGATAGTCGAACTGACAGGTCTCGAATTGCTTACGAATGCTTTCGGTGTCTTGTTGATGTTCCAAGGAGTTGCAGCTGCCGTCGGATCTCCGTTATTGGGCAAGTGCAGTTATATAATAAAACTTAACAATAAATACACTTTGTAACGCGCAGACGAGGAATTTTTATGAGTTCACCTGGCTAATAATAAAAGTACCCATCCATCCGTTTAGGTCAGTCCATGTTAGGTCTTATTAGGAGTCATTAATTTGGGCGAATTTATATTTATCTTTGATGTATATAACTTATCTTGAGCTTAGTAATTAATTATATATAATAAGTAATTATATAGTAGTTATATGCAAGACGTAAGTATATACTCGTAATTCGTATTATATATAAATAACAACTTTTATAATATTGACTGCCGATAGGCGATAATCATTTCAAAGTGCTCAAAACTAGGAATCAATTTAACTGAGAGTCTTAACTCCTAACTTTCTAAAAATGGTAAGGAAAATGTATAAGACATATTAGGTGTCCACATAAATTTGTCTAAATTATATATTATATAAGCTAGCCCAAACGGAGCATTAGATATATTAGGGGGTTCTTCCCCTGAAGAATATGTGTGTTTTGGGTCAAAAAGTATGAGAAAAGGATTTTGTCAAAATCAAATGACTTACACTGAAGAGAGGACTCGGACTTTAGTAGAAATTATCTATATAATATCTCCTCTATAAAAAATTCTCCTTCAAATGCGATAATATTTAATTTAATTGGTTTTTGATGTCTTGACATTTTTTAGAACTCTAATTTTTTCTCCCATTTGAGCTTGGATTTTCTGAGAAATGATAATCTGCTGTATTTAAATAAACCAGTCAATCGCTATCCACAGAAATTAATAGGAAAAAGTTAACCCCGTGGGTGGGCTGGGGGCAAAGCGATACCTTTCTCCTTCACAAAAATGGCTGGAAGGAAGCAACTTCTCCCTCAGGCAAACTCCACTGAATTAATATAAATCTAATTTGGTAGTCAAATCTCGATTACTAATACCTCGACCTTTTATATGCGCGCAGGGCTGTTCAAAGACTGGACTGGAACCTACGACATGTCGTTCTATTTGTCCGGGATAATATTGACCATGTCGGCGGTCATCTGCTACCCGCTGAGAAGAGTCAAAAAGTGGGAAGACAACCGAAAACTGAGACGACCCAATAGCGTTTGATCGCGCCATCGCCTATATATATTATATATTGCCTCGAGGAGAAAAATCAAATCTGACTCTTACCTGCCATATAGTTTTTATTTGTCGATCGCGACCACACTTTATATAATATTATGATATCCGTCGAGGATGTTTCGTGTGCTCATTATTATATAATATTGTAACGAATAGAAACGTGTATATTTTGTGTCCTCGGATCACAATGTTATGTGTGTATACGCGCTACCATTCGTATAGGTTTAATCATCGCGACGATATATCATAGTATAATATTATGTGTATTGTTGTCTTGTAAAATTTGACTATATATTATTGTAATTGTTATACGTTATCAACCATTATTATAATCTATTATTGTATGTTTAAAATGTATATTACGTTAAATTATGTGAAGAGTTAAAATAAAACATAAAATTGTATTCCTTTTTAACGGACCTCGTGATTGACTTTCCAAATGTACCTATATACAATATACATCAGCTATAGTTTCGAGTAAAACCAGTGCGACCTCAGTGGCGGAACCATACAATGGATGCCGAAATGTCTGTACGATTTTTTTTTATTATTATTATTTTTAGAAAAATATATACAATCTATACCTAGACATAATAAGTATATGTGCGATTAGAAGGAACAAATAACATGAATTAATAATTTGGGGAAAGGAGCCACCCACTGATGACACTTTCAACTTGGCTTACAAATGTCGGTACATAAACTTTTTTTGGTGCTCAATTGTGTTGTATTTGAGATAGGTAAAAACGTAAAAAGAGAGAATTGCAGGAAGCACCTTCAATCTTTGCGCCACCTGGCCTGTAATTCTAGTGGCGCCTGTATATTGTACGAATGAACAGTGAGCTAATGGTCCTTTAAACATAACTTAGTGGCCCATGGTTGGTTTATTAAATTGTATATTGAACCATGAAATTAATATATTTTTCATGCAACCCGACATATTATATATGTACGGAATAATATATTATTATAACACTGTCTTTACATTGTAATATAGATAACAATTTTTTTTTTAAATTCCCATTAAAGGTCCGTTTGTAAGTGCGCTTCTGAACAGTGTGGATTTCCGATCAATCACAATAATTGGAAGTGTAATCTCCTGCATTGCATTCGTTTCCGCCGCTTATGTAGAATCATTGTACCAACTGATGTTCTGCTATGGTTTCATTGGTGGTAAGTCATAATTATTTGCTTTTATTCAATACTATGTAGTTATGGAATTAATAAAATAGGTAATAACATCTAAAAAAATGTACTACTTAATAATATAATAATTCATTTCACAAAGTGAATGACAACATTGTTAAAAAAGTTACACGACACAAACTAAAGTGTCCATTTCACTAGAAGTGACAGTTTCGTGAAATATTTTAATGTTAAAAAGCTGTTTCCACTTCATGAAATGGACAATTTTTCCAAAAGATAAATTTCACGAAGTGGCTATGACATAATATATAGATTCATCAATATTTAATTATTTATAATTGCACGCTATTTATTACATCTTTTATGTCTCGTCCAGGTATCGTGTATGTGACGGATTGTGTTTGTGTAACAACAACTTCAGATCTGCAATTATTAAGTATCTTAAAAATTACATTGTCAGTAGGTAGGTCCCTACATTCAAATGGTTTACACAATTTATAAGGGTCGATTATGCATAATATTATTTCAATAATATAATAATGCATATATTTTACTGTCAAACAACCCAAGGCATTCGAAAATAAAACTCATTGACATTTAGACGACGTATTCAAACTATTGAAAACATGCCAATACATTTTACTTATTAGTTATTTGTTCTAGATTATAATCACGTTGTTTGATTAATAATTTATTAGACGTGATACGATTATGTTATTATTATAGCTTGAGGTTCCAATGTTCATTAGGTCAAGTACAAAATAAAACTTTCAACGACTGTAGATTGTATACATATTTTATGGTTTCAAATTAATACTAATTGTTGCTTACATATTCATTGTTATATCAATAATAAAAATATGGTTCCAGATTATTAATATATATTATTCCATTATTTTTTTATTGATCATCTTTATTTGAAAATACACACCACAGGTACAAAATTAAATGTATAATCTTCTATCATTATTACAGGTATCGGATTCAGTATGGTATATGTATCTGCGGTATTAATACCTGGATTTTATTTCGACAAGTGGAGAGCACTAGCAACGGGTATAGCTGTATGCGGATCCGGGATAGGAACGTTTGTACTTGCACCATTAAATGCACTTTTGGTAGAAAACTATGGTTGGCGAGTTACCATTATGGTCCAAGCAGGTACATAGTTATTTAAAAAGAAAATATTTTTATGCTTTTAAGTACTATGTTTATAGTGCTATATAAGTTATATCTGTTTATCAGTAATGTAATAAACTTGTTTTCTAAATTGTATGTGTTATCTTAAATATGTCATGTTCAAAACCCTTTAAATAAAAATCCAATCCTATAACCTAAAATCAAAAACAAACATAATCGTTCTTTTTTAAGTTATTAATATAAAGTTTTTAAGTAATATAGGAGATGAACAAAATATGCCTATCGAAAATCATACGGGTGAGCTCGAGGATAAAAATAATAAAAAAAATATGATTTTGTTTCTTAGGTCTCGCATTGAGTTGCGCTGGCGCTGGGATACTTTTCCGTCCATTGAAGCCAACCATTGTCGAAGTGCCGACTATCAATCCGGTCGTGATGGAACCAAAGTTACCGGAAGACGAGCCGCTGTTGACGAAAAGCATCACTGCCGAGAGAAAGATGTCGCTAGACAGCAAACACAACGCCGTCAAAATCGGAGCTCCGACGGCCGAAGAAATTTACAACCACCTGTCGGGTCGCCTGACACCCGAAACTCGGCCCACAAGCATATCGTGCCATTCTCTCAACACCCACAATCAGTACCTGAAGGATAGATTGTCACCCGATTTACCGGAAAAGAAATTATCCGCCGTCAGTCTGAGGAGGCCGTCTGTATCTGCGCATTTGATGGACAGGGACGACCGATTTTTCGGAGGGAGTCTGTCCAGACTGCCGCAGTATTCGTCGCAGGTATGTTTTTTATACAGAGGTCCCGACCAATTTTCTCCATCGGTTTTTCAATCTCGTCCCTTACAGCTGGATATGATACAAATATGAATAATGAATATACGCGTATTACTATTATATAGGTACCCCGCAACGTGCGTCAATCGAAAACTTTATTATATTATCTATTGCGGTAAACTATAATAATACCTTTATAGGTAGCTGTCGTAAAAAAAATTACACAATTCCACGCTACGCCCGCGCCTTAGGGTAGACTTATTTATTTCTTGCAGGCATTATTTTAGGTGAGCTCGTTGAACTACGCAATGTCGGTGACGAGAATACCAGCCTGGAACGACGCCGAGGAGGGGGATGACGAAGAGCCTTGTTCGAAGAATAATTCGTTCCGGAAAAACATGAAGAAGTATTACAAATCGGCTATGCACACACTCATGACAATGTTGGACTTTTCGATTCTAGCCTCTCCGTCCTTTTTCGTGTTGACGTGCAGCGGTTTTTTGACGATGTTGGGATTCTTTGTTCCATTTATGTACATTAGCGGTAACTATGAGTCTTGTTTTATCATATTTTTACCGCATATACCAACCTATACTTATAATACTTGACTCTTGTAGGGTGGCCGAAAAAAATTAATCCATGAGATGTACCGTAAATTATCAAAAAAAAATATATATATATATACATATATGTTCCCTGAATAGATGATAATTTAGGAACTGTAGTGATTTCCTACCCATTATTCACAATGACTGGAAAGGATAGGCAATGTTGGATATTTCGTAGTCTTATCATAATTTCTGAAAATTATATTATAGGCAAATTTTAATAGAAGATTCCCAACAACTTTTTCTACCTCAATAAAAAAAACATGTTTATTTAAAGATTTAGAATTTATTATCATTTACTATTTCAACGGCAACAATAAATATTAATATAAAAACCCTTATTGATACAGAACAGTAAAATACACTTTTACAATTAATTAAAAATTGTATTTTTATAGTTTCAGCCAATAAAACCTATAAGTTTTAGCTGATATAGTGATATGATCACTATATAAATGTCCATCATCAATATTATAATATGAATAAACATTGATGCCTACACGTTGTATCTAGTGACTATTACCTATCTAGATGGTTTCACTTTTCTACTATATCATGATTTACGTCAAACTCATATTAAATTATATTAATTTGTATTTCTGTAAGACTTCAAAAATGTCATAATTATTGTAATTATTGTTATAATTTGTTAACGCTCCCATAGCATGTATAGCAGGATATTCCACATAACCTGTTGAAGGCCAATCTCAAATATTTTTTTTACGTATCTACTCGTTATTAAAATATGGATTAATTGATTTCGACTATTGACAATTTTTCCGCAGAAAAAGCCGTCAGTATGGGCATGGACAAAAACGTAGCCGTGTGGCTGGTATCCGCGACAGGTCTGACGAACACGTTTGGGAGAGTGATATGTGGTTGGATATCCAGTTACGAATCCATCGATCCAATTCTGGTGAACAACTTGTCCCTCACGTTTGGAGGCCTCTACACCGTCTTGTTACCGTTTCTCCCGTATTCGGTGTTCTCATATTACTTATACGCTTCGCTGTTCGGATTTTCCATGGGTAAGCACATTTTTTTACGCACATCGATTACGATCACTTTTATGCCCTTTTATCGCATGTTTATCCTCAGGACACCGGTTCAACCTTTAAGATACTTACACACCCCTCTATTTTTTAATTAAGGCGTCCCTACGTTTTCCAATATCAATCTTGATTCGACTCAGAATTAATAGTTTCGTATTAAAATCATGAACATAAATTGGAGGAATATATAAAACCATTTTTTTGAAACTGAAAACATTATAGCATCCTGTATTAACGTCCTTAATATTAGGCCGTG